AAAAGAAAGAAAAGAAAAGAAACTATCAACTCCCAACTTGACTCACACTGGGATTAAACATGACAATAGGTCTGATCTGATTTCATCATCATTAAAAAAAAATCATCTATTATTTTTCACTTTATGTTTCTGTGTGGGAGCAAACTGTTGAAATCCTTACTTAATGTATACTAAGCTGATCTTCTGTATATTAAGATAATCGAAAATGAATCTTGATGCGAATGGAAGGGGAGAGGGAGTGGGAAAGGGGAGGGTAGTGGGTGGGAGGGACGGTATGTGGGGGAAGCCATTGTAATCCATAAATCGTACTTTGGAAATTTATATTCATTAAATAAAAGTTAAAAAAAAAAAGAACAAAATGAGGAAATGTAATGTGCCACTATTTTGAAAATTAAAGTGCTGTCATCATTAGTTTCTTTTGTGATTACTTCCTTTATGATTCAGGACAAAGTAAGAATCTTCAAGCTGCCTGCTCCTGAGCAGTGGAAAGTGCAATGGATTGAACAGGAGTGCTGGGCTCCCCAAACTCATGAAGATGCGTAAGCCTCAAAGTCTTTCGTTAGCAGTTAATGGATTAATGTTAATGGTTGATGGATTCAAGTGGAGGTTTGATCCAATTATGGGATCTTTGGGAAGTGACGGGATTGAAATAGACAGCTATGGTGGGATCCCACAGAGGGTGGAAGAGGAGTGTGCTCCCCATGCCTGTCACTCCCAGGCTCACTATGTGGTCTTTTGGCACACTCTCCACCAGGCTAATGGCGCTGCCCCATGTTGAACTGTGAACCTCCTTGCTGTCAGCCAAAATAAACTTTTTCTTCTTCCCAAGAAGATCATCTCAGGCATTTTAAAGTTATGAAAAGTCAACTAATACAGAAGGTGAATTCAGTTTTTCTGCAAAATCAGTCACATACTCCAAACCACTTGGTACACATTAAATTTATATCTTGGTTAATTCTGAGCAGAAATCACTTTGATTGGGACATTCACATACAAGAAAACCCAACTCCCAAATCAGCATATATTAAATAATAAAGCAGATTCTTCACTGGATTTTGGAATTTAAGAAGAAATCAGCAGCTTGACAATCCTTGGAAAAGAGTATTTCCATCTGCATTAAAATTGTGTTCTTCTTAGTATATACTTCCACAATATTTCTATCCCATTGGTGAGGCACACGCTATTTAATTTTTGTTTCCATTTTCTCTGGTCACAGCATCTGTTATCTCACTACCTAAATAACTAGTGTTTAGCTCAATTTACTAGAGCACAGTTGATGAAATTCTATTTGCAAGCACAAGAAATTTTCAAAATTTCTCAAGTCCAAGGATTGCATGGCTTTGCAACAATCTAATCATTTACCAAATCCCTCTCCAAGCACACACAGTAAAGACACATTAAATACCATTGATTGCCTGATCCTTGGGACCTAAAAAGAACCCATGGTCTTTTTCTTCTTTAGGGCCTGATAAGATAAAATTTAAGAGTGAGTTGCTGGGGCCAGAATTGTTGCGCAGTGGGTTAAACTGCTACCTGCAACAACAAAATCCCATATGGGCAACAGTTTGAGTCCTGGCTTCTCCATTTCTGATTCAGCTTCCTGCTAGTGTGCCTAGAAAGACAGTGGAAAATGGTCCAAGAACTTGGGCTAGTGCACCCACATGGGAGGCCTAGATGGAGTTCAGGGCTCCTGGCTATCTGTCTGAATGTATGTGTGTGTGTGTGTGTGTATGTCTCTTTGTCTGTCTCTCTCTTTGTAACTCTGCCTTTCAAATAAATAAATCTTTTTAGAAAAAATACAATGAATTGCTAAACATGCTACTATCTTATGACAACTGTGCCTTTGGATGCTGAGTGACAGTCACTCCAATACCATCCTAGGGTTCTTTATTTTGCAAGTTGAGACAGAGTTGAAATTGATTCAAACAAAGAAGCACATTACCTGCTTTGATGTACACCTGGTGAACCTGCTGTTGCTGCTTCTTTTTAATTCGAGAATATTGCCGCTTCAGCGCATTGATGTCTGTGGTCATGCGTTCCATCATCATACTGTTAAAAGCTGCATGGTATTCACTGCGACAGGAATTGATTGCTCCCGGACTCAGCTCTGCAATGTTATTCGATTTCAGACTCTGCTCCTCATTCGGCTCTGAACCCACCAGAAGAAGAGACACAACGACATGGTCAGTGGAAAGGAAGAGGATTAAATGGTAATTGATTACATGATGATCCAGTAAATGGTCTTAATTTCCAGGAAATTCTAAATCATGAAAAAAAAGTACACCATTGGCAAGTGTTGGGTCTAGCAATTAAGATGCTAGGTACTACACAGCCCACATGGGGATATCTGGGTTTGATCCCTGGCTCCAGTTTCTGATTCCAGTTTCATGGAAATGTAGACCCTGGAAGGCAGCAGTGATGGCTCAAGTAACTGGGTCCCCACTATACACAAGGGAGACAGAACTGAATTCCCCATTTCAGACATTTGGAGAGTGAACCAGAAGATGGGATCCCCTTTTACCTCACCCCACAAGTAAACAAAATAATCTTTAGACAATTTTTAGCTGTTAACTAGAACTTGCCTAGTGCTTGTTTTGATTTGCTCCTGAAAATATTTCTGCCTAAGTGTGTGTGTCTTAAATGAGCTTTGTGGGTTCACTGCTTGAGTTTGTACCATTCAATCTGTTATGCAGATACACAATCAATTGTTTCCAGGTATAAACTATGGCTGTCTTCTAAAATTCCCATAGGAAAACATAGCTATAGACATCAAAAGTTACTAAAGAGATTTTCATTTTATTACACAACGTATTATATGAGGTTGTCTTTAGAGTTTAGACAGTCATTTCAAGTGTTTTCCTTAAAAAAAAAAAAGTAGCGTATCTTATACAACTATAAAGACTTCTGATCACTGTATCACTAGAAATGAATTATTTTGTTCATTTAATGAGGAGTTCCTGTCTCCTGTACCTAATGTGATTTGTACTCCTGTGATACTTACAACTGTCACATTTGCCCTTTAAGTAAAATTGGGGGGTGGGACTTTGGCTTAGTGGTTAAGACACCACTTGGGGGACCAGCATTATGGCATAGCAGGTAAAGCAGGCAAAGCCTCCACCTACATCACATCCCACTTCAGCCCAGCCCAGTGCTGGCCATTGCAGCCATCTGGGGAATGAACAAGTAGATGAAAGATCTCTGTCTCTCTCCTTCTCTTTCAAACAAAATAAATAAATCTTAAAACAAATAAAAGACACCTCTTGCGATGTCTGCATTCCATATCAGAGTGCCTGGTTCGAGTCCTGGCTCCTCTGCTTTCAATCTAGCTTCCTGCTAATGCACACCCTGAGAAGCAGTAGATGATGGCTCAAGGACTTGGGTCTCTACCACCCACATAGGAGACACAGAATGAATTACAGGCTCCTGGCTTCCACCTTGGCTGCTGTGGGCATTTGAAAAATGTACCAGCAAATAGAAGACTTCTGTCTCTTTTTGTCCCTGCCTTATAAATAAATAAATAAATAAGAATGTTAAAAATGTTTAATGAAATTACATCCAAGAAAGAAAAATAATTACCATGGTGGGACTTTACTCAAAGTCTGTAGACATTGAAAAGGCTTCTCTAGTACAAAGGGCAAAATTGACATGGAGTTAATTAAAATACAACTGAGAGATTTTAACTATCCTAACTTCTGCTGAATGTGTTATTCAGATGAAAGTTAAATATTCCATAAAGTTACTTTCTTTCTAACTGAAATCCCTACTCTATGACAAAAAATTAAGAGGGGAACTACTTAACTGAATAAAGTCAATAGGATTCAATGATGAAATTTTAGAGAAAGAGGTCATGTCATCCTGAAGCACATAATTATACACAAAGAAACAAAAGGCAAAAGTAGACCCTGACAAAAGAAATGCAGGCTTAAAACCTGTAACATCGAAGCACACATGATCTCATGGCTCGACACCAGAAGCTGAAATTCAGGCAACAAGAAAGGAGACAGAGGGAATTACAGACATCAAGAGGATTCCTGTTGAGTTCAGATTTTTAAGAGCACAAAACAAGGGCCTATACACAAAAAAGGCAGGAACCCAGCCATTGAGTAGGTGAAAAATCAGGACAAGCTTAGGCTTGGGGAAAATGCTCAAAACTACTGAATGGGAGAGGGAGAGGGAGGAGGAGAGGGAGAAGAAAGAGAAGGAGACAGGGAGGGGGAGGGAGGGAGAAAAAGAGGGAAGGAGGAAAGAGTGAGGAAGGTCTTGAGGAAAGGAGGCAGAGGGAGAGAGAAAGAAAGAAATGGAAACACAGCATCAGTCACCACTGCTACCACTACCTCTGCAAAAGAACAAAGAAAAAATGAGAAGCAACTCCATGACCACAAGGAGGGAGAACAAAATTAGCAGACGGCAAAGAGAAAGCACAGGAGCCTGGCATCTATCTTATTTCTGTCCTCTTGTAGCACGTGTCTGTCACTCTGAACAGGGAATGGCCCTCAAGCCAAGAGGCAGATTCAATATCCTAAAAGAAGACGGCCCACTCAAGATGGGGAAGGGCAAAGGGGAAAATCATAAGCTGCTTCCAAGGAGTTCATTACATGGGTAATGTCTAGACCACAGGAAACCTATTCTGTGTAGGGAAAAAATAATAAAGCATGGCATTTAATTTGGAGCACTGTATTTTTAAGAGGACCATTACCAAGTTACAGAACATTTAGAACTGACTAGAATATCAAAACCTCTGGAAGACATAGCTTATGAGAAACAAAAAGATCCTGACCTTGGATCACAGAGAAACCTCTGTGAGTATAACTGTTCTCAAAGATTTGAACAGATGTCAGACAGAAAAGGGCCTAGACTTGTTCTTATTTTCGTTCCAAAGAGAAGAACTACCAGTGGAACTGGTAGGTTGTCTCTTTGCACAAGAAACCACGATCCAAGGAGAAGAATCTAGCACAGTGGCTTGTAAAATGAGTTTCTTGTCACTCAAGAAATTTAAGGAGTGGCAGTTTGGCCTAAAGGGGAGGCACCAGTTAGGGTGCCTGCATCCCATATTGGGGCACCTGGGTTCAAGTTTCAGCTCTGCTCCTGATTTTAGCTTCCTGCTAACGTGGACCCCAGGAGCAAGCAGTAGCTGGGTCCCTGCCACCAACATGAAGACCTGGATTGAGTTCACAGCCCCTGACTTCAGCCTTATTGAGGCCCAGGGGCTGCAGGCATTTGGGGAGTAAAACAGTAGATGGCAGTGCACTTGCTCTCACTTGATCGCTCGCTCGCTTGCTCTCTCTTTTTCTCTCTCTTCCTCCCTCTCTCTCCTCTTTCTTCTCACCGTGATCTCTCAGATAAGTAAATTTTAAAAAGAAATTCAAATAGCAGCTACCATAATATTTTGTATGTGAAAGTTAATCCAATAGAGGAGGAGGAGTCAGCAGAATCAATAATATTGAACTCAGATTGTATTAGACATCTACTATATGCTAGGTTCTGTGCTAAGGAACTGAGCATACAAGGTTGAAAACATGAAGGGGAAGCAAAGTTTACAAGGAAGAAAAAGAGATGTGTCTTATACATGCAATACATCATACTGAGAGGTCCTACTTAATGACACAGTAGCAGAGAAGGTATTTTTGACATGGACTTCCATAGGGTGACCAGTCCAGGGAATTCCTGAGGTACCCATGGGACACAATAATGATAACCTTGGTAGAGTGAACCAACACACGGTGACCACCTAAATGGAGAGCCACCTCTTTACCTTTCATCTGCTTTTGGAACTTCTGTAGTTCAGGGACAAGCAGCCCACTGAAAGGTCCAAGACATCCCACTGCGTTAACAACGGCATCTTCATCATCTGGGTCATTCTCCTCGTCACTGTCTCTGACCTTCCCATGCCGTCTTCAAGAACACAAAAGAAAAGAAATAGTCACAAAGAAATAGTGGCATTTAAAAAAAAAAGTACCAGAGCCACAAGATTTAGATGCCATAAATATAATCCATACAAAATTACATAAGTTATAAAAAGCCTCCCCTCTCATCCCTGGATAACTTCTGCCAGTTTTTGACCCATCTAATTCCTACAGGTGACCTCTGCTACTCATTTTTTTTTTTTGTATTCTTGTTTCTTTACACATAGTCAAGAAAATGTCTCTATCATTTTCTTCTCTTTTCCATGTTTTTTAGTTTTGATGGATATGTGATGGTGTTACATGTTTATGGGGTTCAGTGTGGTGTTTCATACCTGTATATGGTGTGTCCTGAAAATCAGGTAATTAGCATTTCCATCTCTCTGTCGTTAGTTTATATTTGGAGATTTGAGCTCCTCTCTCCCACTTCTTCATAAAATATATGTGATTGTGAACTGTAGGCTCCCCACTGTGCTGTGGAACACTAATTATTCCTTCTATCTAACTGCATTCTGGTATATATCCAAAAAGAATGAAATCCTTGTATCAAAGAGATACTTCCACTCTCATGTCTACTACAGCACTATTCACAATAGCCAAGATATGGAATAATTTTCTCTTATTTGTAAAAGAGTCATTTACTTGAAAGGCAGAGCTACAGAGAGAAAAAGACAGAAAGACAGAGACAAACGGGGTTGGGGGAGTGGGAGGGAGACAGATCTATCTATCTATCTGCTGGCTCACTACCCAGTTGGCTACAACAGCCAAGCCTGAGCCAGGCTGAGGTTAGGAGCCTGGGACTCCATCCAGGTCTCTCATTGTGGGTGGCAGGGGCCCAAGCAACCACCTTCCATTGCCTTCCCAGGTAGATTATCAGGAAGCTGGATTGGAAGCAGAGCCATCAGGATTCAAACCTGCGCCCTTCAATTGTAAAATCAACAATAGGAGTCACTGTGCACTTGTTCCCCATGTAGGACCTCTGTCCTTAATGTGCTATACTATGAGAATTAACAGTAAAACTAGTCTTCAAACAGTACTTTATACTTTGTGTGTCTGTGTGGGTGCAAACTGTTGAAATCTTTACTTAGTATAGAGTTGATCTTCTGTATATAAAGATGATTAAAAATGAATCTTAATGAAGAATGGGATGGGAGAAGGAGTAGGAGGTAGGATGGTTAGGGGGTGGGAGGGCAGGTATGGAAGGAACAGCTATAATCCAGAAGTTGTACTTATGAAGTTTATATTTATTAAATAAAATCTTTCTATAAAAAAACTGGCACTCTAGATATGGGATGCTGGCATTGTAAACAGCAGCTTACACTGCACCACACAGCCAGCCCAAATTCTCTCCTCTTTTTGTATAAATATGAGCATATGATCTATACCTTGCTGCACCTTGCTTCTAATAATATAAGAAATATTTCCATATTCATACATAGAGTTTCCTTATCTATCAATTTGGCTGTATTGAATGTACATATAACCCATGTTACAGAATCAGGCTATTAATAGTGCTCCCTTGAGTAGTTTCCAATATTTTACTATTAAAAATAATACTGCAATAAATAACCTCGTACAGTCAACCCTCTGTGTCAACAGGTTCTACATCTGCTGATTCAACCAACCATAGCTTGAAAATGTTTTTAATTGTATCTGTACTGAACATGTTTAGACTTTTTTGTCATTATTCCCTAAGCAATATATTATGACAGCTCTTTATATGGCACTTAAAGTGTATTAGGTATTATAGATAGTGAAAGATGATTTAAAGTATATGGGAGGATATGTGTAGGTTCTATGCCAATACTACAAGGGCTTGGGCATCTATGGATTCTAGTGACTGGGGAGGTCTGGGGAATAGTCCCCACAGTTACTAAGAGATGACTGTACTGTTCTTTGCATGCATACAAATATATCTGTGGGATAATGCACAAGGGTAGAATTGCTGACTCAAAGGATATAGACATTAGTAATTTTGGCAAATAGAGCCAAACTGTTTACCTCCAACCAGCAATATCTAACAGCATATTTCCCTACAGCCTTATCAACAGAGTACATTATCAAGCTTTGGAACTTCTGCCAATCTGATAGGTTAAAAAAAAATCTCAATCTCCAGATTAGATCTTATTGGCCCATCATCATTTACTAAATAGTATGTCTTTTCACCACTGATTTAATATGCCAGTTTTTCATTTGCCAAATTATTGTATAAAAATTTGTTAGCCTCTGATCTTTACCATGTTTTAAATTAGCTCATGTATGCATCTGTGTACCAGCTCCAGGCTATTTTAATTATTGAGATTTTTAAAATTAATTATTTAGTTGAGAGAAAGGAATACAGACAGAATTCTCATCTGCTCATTCACTTCCCAAATACTTGCAACAGCTCTTGACTGAGGACAAATTTAAGAGCTGGAAACTCAATCCAGGTCATGACCTATACTGGCAGCAGGAACCCAATTTACTTGAATCATCTCCACTTTCTCCCAGGGTCTTCATTAGCAGGAGTCTTGAATCAGGAGCTAGAGCTGGAACTTGGACAAAGCCACTCCAGTACGGAACATAAACATCTTAATCTCTACTTCCAATTCAGCATCCCTCTGATGCACACCCTGTAAGCTGATGGCTCAAGTACTTAAGTGCCTTCCACCCAAGTGGGAAACCTATATAGAATCCCAGGCTCCTGGGCTTTGGCCTGGTCCAGTTCCAGCTGTTGCAGACATTTGGAGAGTGAACTAGAGTTTAAAAGATCTCTCTCATCTTCTCCCTCCCTCCTTCTTTCCCTCTTTCTCTTGCTCTGCCTTTCAAGTACATACATACATACATAACCTAGAACTTAAAACCTTTGGGAAAGAGGCATTCACATTTTAAGAACTAAATTGCCATGAATATATTCCTAATCCTTAATAAATATTAATTTGATAACAAATTAAGGTATTAAGTCTTCCATCTCAAAAAATAAATAAACAAACAACAACAACAAAAAAAAAAAAACTTACCCAGAAACTGAGGTGGGTTTGACCGTGGCTGGGAATGGTGTGATATTGTAGGTGTATTTTTCCCTCAACTCAGCGAGTTGTGGAAAAGGGAACGGAGCCATAGAATAAACAGTCTGAAAAACAAGAGCAAAATGCACGCCTGAGATGGTGGCCTTAACTAACTCTCATCAGTCCTGGAAAGGAAGTTTTGTGAAGTGGAATGAGAAGAGGCAGATACTGCTCCTTATGCAGCAGGTGGAAGAGATTCCACTTCAATATCCACTTCAGAGGAAGACAAACAAATACTACGGCATGAGCAACCCTAATGTGAAAACCTGAAATCCAAAATACTCCAAAATCCACTTACATGATGCCACAAGTTGAAAATTCCACACTGATATCATGAACAGGTCACAGTCAAAACACAGCAGCACCAAAAACATTGTAAAAATTACCTTCAGACTACATGTACAAGACATACAGGAAACAGAAAGGAATTTCACATTTAGACTTGGGTCTCACCCCTGAGATTTCTCATTATGTGTATGCAAATATTCCAAAACCTGAACTATTTCTGGTCCCAAGCATTACAAAGAAAAAAAGGAATACTCATACTGATAAACCATGACTCCTCAAATCAACCCAGCTGCAACTGGCTATTCCAACAGGTGAACATGGCTGGGTAAATGCAAGGCAGCTGACTTCTTCATGTGTTTAACAGATGGGTTAACTCAGAAATCCAGTTTCCAGTCACTTCTGCAACCAAGAGCCCATAGACACTCTTCCTATTTAGTGCTCATATTTCAAGGCTTTCTCTTATTATTTTTATAGACATTTAATGTCGATAAATTTATCCAGCCTTCTGGATAAAATTAAGTCTAGTGTATAATCTTATGATCAACTGTTAGGTTTTTTCCAAAGATAGCACCTTTTCAAATGTCTGTGAATGAGTTCTAAGTGAAAATTGTATCTGTTATTCTTAAAGGAAAAAAGATAACAGGGTGCAAAGCACAAGCTGTTAAAAAGTCTATAAATAAAAATAGAGGAAAGTATGTACATTTACAACAGAATTTCTAAATCATACATCATTCTATCAGCAATATGAAAATAGTCTTGTTTGTCCTCCTTTTATTAAAATTCAAACATATTTCTTCCATCCTTCATGTTCTTATTCACCAGAAAATGCACATATTAATCACACTTTCATTTCTCCTAGGATGCCAATCAAATATCCTGATGATGCTTTCTAGGACAACACTTGAAAGCAGAATTTTTCATTTCAACAGGACTGCCATTCTGAAGGCTTAAGAGAGGTCTAATATTTGTGTGGCTTGGAAAAGGCAGGCTTCCCCTGTAGCTTGGCATCACCTGTGCAATTTTGGCCCTAACAGCCTGCACATATGACTGTCCCCAAACTCCATGGTATCCACTTATTTAAATTGTACCAACCCAAGACTCCAAACAGGTAAATGTCAGCCTTCTTCCCTTCAATGCTCCGTGCTTATTGTGCAAAGCTACACAGTTTACAGGAACCTCAAAAGTCATCTCTATATCATCTTATCACATAGGCTATGTACTTGATTATACCCAAAAGCTAAAAAGCAGTAAATTGTGCCTCCCCAGGAAGAAGCATAAGGCATCTCACAGCAGCTCCCATCAGCCATCAGACCAGCTGCCAACATTTCTGAGTTTCCTTTTACCTTGTCTGCAAGTGACAAGCTTGAAATTCAGGATCATGCTTATTTATAAGGGAAAGCAGGTGGTGAGGTCAGGGAGATGTGCGGAGGGGTTCACCCTCACCTTTGCTGTTAATATTTTATTTCCTAAATTGGGTGCTGAGTAGGTAGCTTTTGTTATATCATTCTGATTGCATTCTGGATGCCTGAAATATTTCATGTGATCTTATTAATAATGTGGTCAGAGAGAACTCTCATGTTCTTTGATCCTACAAAGCTATCCAACAGCTGTCCCACCACCACTGCAGAATTGTTCCCTTCTTACTCTTAGGACCCTGTCTTAGCTCCACATAACTTCTTAAAGGAAAAGGAGAGATGTGAAATCCTCTCCCCAGCATACTAAGATCCCGAGCGCAGTGCCCCACCTTGTGCCTCAGCAGAACCAGCATCCACCTATCTGACAGCACACACTAAATGGGGATGAGAGTCACTCACTCAACTGATTCTCTTTCCTTAACAATGTAAACACTTGGTACAGACATTCAACAAAACCCAATCAATTAAATTCAACTTTAAAAGATGAGATTACAGGGCCAGTGTGGTGGCACAGCGGGCTAAGCTGTTGCCTGCGATGCTGGCACCTTATCTAGGAGCACAGGTTGAACTGAGTCCCAGCTGCCCCACTTCTGATCCCAGCTCCTGCTACTGTGCCTGGGAGAATAGCGGAAGATGGCCCAAGTGCTTGGGCCCCTGCTACCCATGTGGGAGACTTGGATGGGGTTTGGGCTCCAAGCTTTGGCCTGGACCAGCCCCAGTTATTGAGGCCATTTGGGGAGTGAATCAGTGAATAAAAGATACCCTCTTTCCCCAGCCATCCCTCTCTGTCTTTCAAATAATAAATAAGTCCTTAACAAAAAAAAATAATAAAAGATGAGATTACTAACATGAGGAATTTTGAAATTTCTTACAGGTGAATTAAGATGTCTCATGGACGACAATGGAATGATGATCTGAAGATCCACCTGTGCTTCATTCATGCCAGTTTTGGAACAAGGTACAGGATGAGCATCTTAATCTGAAATCTAAAATGCCCCAAACTCCAAAACTTTGGGTGTCAATGACACAAGTGAAAAATTCCATATCATAAAACTTTGTTTTGTTTATGAAATTATCTAAAATATTATACAGAGTTATCTTCAAGTTATGGGCATATGGTGTATATGAAACAAAACAGAATATCATGTTTAGACTTGGAGCCCATCCCCAAGATACCTAATCATTTTAATGCAAATATTCCAAAATCTGAAAAAATCCAAAACACTTCTGGTCCCAAGCCTTTTGCATAAGGGATACTCAATCTACAGCAGAAAATTCCCCCTGTTCAGTCCTGTAAAATAAGTTTATAAGCAAGGTATAGGAATTACCTCCTGCCCCTACTTTACCATCCTGCCCCAGGACAAAAGCTTGGGTTCCTAGCAAGTTCTTTCAGGGAGCATTCAGCTAAAGACACTTGACCCAAACTTGACCCAAAGGAAAACTGGCTCCATGGAATTTTCAACTTCTAATTCAGGTCTTTCTCTATCACTTGCTTTGAAATAGTCCTTTGTTTCTGAAATAGTCCAGGGTTCCTCAAACAAACTTGTTTCCAAATAGGGCCCTGGCACAACTCCACAGCACTCAGGGTACCTGAAAACCAAAATTCCAAGAAAGACAGTTTACCAACCATCTTAGAGCCCAAGTGTGGCATGCCATGGACTCTTAGGGTTAAAAAGGAAGTTAAGCACAATTTAGTTCAGCCTTCCTCCCTCCCAGCCCAGAGCCCCTTTCAGATCCTTTCCAACAGATGGTCACAATGGCACTGCTCAAACACTTCCCAATACAGTCATGCACTCTCCTGCAAGCAGATGGTTTCAAATGTTGACAGAAGTAACTCATCAAACGTCCTCTCTTGAACAATCAACAATACCCTTATAATTTCCACCACATCTCTGATTCAAGAAAGGCAACACTGGAGGCCAGAAGGTATTTAGTGCCTGTGTCATACCAGAGCTGTCTCCAGATCACAGTAAACCATTAGCACTTTGGGCTAGGTTTTTCGAGAATCTACTAACCCTTCTATTAACAGCATCTATGTTTCTTCTTAAATTGCCCTAAAGGGATTTACCAGAGACTATCAATCAAAAGTCCTGCTGAGACCTGAATACACTGTTCCACCAGCATTCTCCCAGCTTCTATACTCAACACTATCAAGAAGATATTAAAATGAACATTTCTAATAAGAAGAGTTATGTGATGTCCAGGGAGGGATGGATAAGGGTAGGGCATTTAGAATGGAAAAATATGAGAAAGGCCCAAAAGGGTCCTTTAGCTCAGAAATACTTTAAAATAAGAACATTTCTCATCTGGAGCCATTTCAAGCTTGCTGATGGATTTAGGGTCTACCATAGTCAGATCAGTGTCACTGAATTACCTTTCTTAAAAAGGTGAACACAGAGAGGAGAGTGGCTTGAAATGGCATGCGCCATTCCCTTCCTTAACATTCTGTGATACCAAGGAAACACGTCTGTTCACTGCCTTCACTACCAGCATACCCTTACACAGACATTTATATTTAACCATGGCAGAAAAGGAATTCAATTTTCTTTTTTCATTATTGACATGCTTTACCAAAAAAAGAAAACATGAAAACAGAAGTTGTTAAAAAAAAAAAAAAATGAGGTTCTGGTCATCTTCACCCAGATGCTCCCTTGACAAGAGAAACACTACCACCATGGAATCTAATCAGTCAAGCTGCAGCCTGCAGTGGCCCCTCCAGGATTCTCTTAAAAGCAGTGTAAAGAAGTGGTTCTTTCTCCTGCTACCTAAGGTTGGAAACTCCTAGAGGACAAAGACGGCATGAAGGGTCTTCACAAAGTTCACGGAAAATATGTATCATGAAAAAACTATACATGGATTTCCAAAATTTTTTACACAAAAATAAACTTAGATTTTACCCTTTTTTATTTATTTTCACTTTGTCTGAAAGGTAGAAAGAGTTGGTCAGAGATCTTCCATCCATCGGATAACTCCCTAAATATCCAAAATAGCCAGGGTTGGACTAGAGCCAAAGCCAGAAGCCCGTAACTCAATCCACATCTCCCACATGGGTTGCAGGCATTCAGGTACCTGGGCCACCATCTGCTGCCTTCCAGGGTACACATTAGCAGGAAGCTGCGTCAGAAGCAGAGGAGGCCGGCGCCGCGGCTCAGTAGGCTAATCCTCCACCTTGCGGCGCCGGCACACCGGGTTCTAGTCCCAGTCGGGGCGCTGGATTCTGTCCCGGTTGCCCCTCTTCCAGGCCAGCTCTCTGCTATGGCCCGGGAGTGCAGTGGAGGATGGCCCAAGTCCTTGGGCCCTGCACCCGCATGGGAGACCAAGAGAAGTACCTGGCTCCTGCCATCAGATCAGCGCGGTGCGCC